CAGCAATGTATTATTGATAAGCTTCGGAATGGACCTCAGATGGAAGATAAATCTGTGTCCTTTCCGCAAAATCAGGATGGCTTAAGGTACGCCTTTCTCCACCAAGGCAAAAAGAAAGGTTGTCTTCAACAAATATTCCGTCCTTCTATGCAAAAGAAACAGTGGCTAGAAACTCAACGACTAACTCCTTATACATGACTTCCTGAATTTCAAATAACCGTCTCCACCCCTTACAAACAAACGGCCCATGAATGCTATTGAATGCTTTGTCCAAGTATGGCTCAATTCCCTACATTAACCCGGTTTGTCCAATCCAGTGCCAATCTACAACTTCAGGAACATGGACTTTTCGCTGCTTCATCCAGTCAAGTTTTGCATTGAATCTTGCGTAAATCTCAGGCCCAACAGTCCTAAGGAAAGAATACGATGGAAACTCGGGGCGACTCCCGGGTTGTTGGCGTCGTGCACGGCTAGCCATTTATGCAAAATAACCAAAAAGAACACAAGAGGAAACCATGTGTATGCAAGGAATCAGAACAAAACAGGATTAGGCTTACAAAAGTTCACCACGACAAGGACCACGACGAGTCATTGTGGTCGATGAATTGTCGAGTGCTGTGGTTTAACCAGACCAAATTCAACACCATTCCAACTCAATACAACTTTAGGGTTTGTTCTAGGCATGAATTCAAGTAGGAAGGTAACAAAATTAAATGAAAAACAGCATTAATCAGGTCGGATTTTTGCAAAAATTGAAACCCTAGGTTCCTAATTTTTGGCCTAAAAGTGTTGTAATAGCAACTGTATACCCTATACTAGCATAAGAAGTGATTAAGAGTAAGGAAATCACACAAAAATCATTCCTTTTAGTGCAAAAACGCAAGAAATCGAGTAGAAGAAAGGGATGTTCTTCGTATGGAAAGGGAACACGTCGAGAGAGAGGCAGAGTAAAAGGTAAAAATTGTTTTGACTGGGGTTTAAAAGGCTTAATTTGACTGCAGTTAAACAGACACCACGTCGTGGAGAATTCACCACGTCGTGGTATCGCCTAGAGAAATCTTTTATCGGGTTTTGTAAGTTCACCACCTCGTGGTGGTTTTCACCACCTCGTGGTGATGTGTTTTTAGAAAAAGTTCCAAATTAGTCAAAATCATATAAAAATCATCCACCCCACACTCGTTTTATTCCATTCCCCACGTTGAATTCCATAGAAATTTAGAAGAATGAGAGTATAAAGCATTAAGCAAAAATAAAAGAAAATGAAATAAAATAAAAGAAAAGGAAAGAAAAATGCAAACTCAAAATCACAGGTTTCCTCCTGCAAGCGCTTCATTTTGGGGAGTCATAAGCCGGACTCCTTCCCACTTCACGTTGTTCCAGCTCGTGTGAATTTGATGATTTCCCCCTCTTTTTCTTCAATTGGCATTCCTTCTTCATAATATTTCATTCTATGCCCCTTAACTTTGAAAGGGGTCCCGTCTCTCGATATAAGCTTAATAGCTCCAAGTGGGAAACATGTTTAACAACAAACGGCCCATCCCACCTCGTTTGTAGTTTTCCCGGGAAAAGCTTTAACCTTGAATTTAAGAGTAGCACCTTTTTTCCTTCATGAAAATCCTTATGACCTTTTATTCTCATGTCATGCCATTTCTTTATCTTGTCCTTATATATTAATGAACTAGTGTATGCTTCATTCCTAAGTTCCTCCAGGGCATTCATTTTCATCAATCGGTTGGCACGAAGTCCGGTTAGTTCAAAATTACATATCTTCAAAGCCCAAAATGCTTTATGCTCGATTTCAAACGGCAAGTGGAAATTTTTTCCATAGACCAACCTATATGGTGTAGTACCAATAGGTGTTTTAAAAGCCGTTCGAAATGCCTAAAGTGCATCATCAAGCTTATTTTGACCACTCTTTTTTATTACTTCCAACCGATCGCTCTAACATTCGTTTTAATGTTCGGTTTGTAAATTCGGTTTGCCCACTTGTTTGTAGATGGTATGATGTTGAAAATATATGGTGTACACCACATTTTTGTAACACCTTGGCCAATTGATCATTTGCAAAGTGGGTGCCTCGATCACTTATTAGAGCCTTAGGAACACCAAATCTTGAAAACAACTTCTTAAGGAAACGCACCACCACACGAGCATCATTAGAAGGTAATGCTTGTGCTTCCGCCCATTTGGATACATAATCTACCGCCACCAATATATATTTATTTCCTTTGAACATTGGGAAGGGTCCCATAAAGTAAATCCCACATATATCAAATATTTCACAAACTTGAATGTTATTTTGGGGCATCTCGTTGCGAGATGAAATATTTCCCGACCTTTGGCATGAATTGCACTCCTTGACATATTGAGCGGCATCTTTAAATATCGTAAGCCAATAAAAACCCGTACCAAAAACCTTTATAGCCGTATATTGTGCTCCATGATGTCCTCCGGTGGGTCCGCTATGTCAATGTTTCAAGATTTCTCGACTCTCTTTCCCGAATACACATCTTCTAATCATAACGTCTGTGCAACTTCGAAAGAGGTATGGTTCATCCCAAAAGTAATATTTGATCTCTGAAAAGAATTTCTTCTTTTGTTGTCTTGTGAAATCATTTGGAATGTATTCCCTTGCTAAGTAGTTGGCTATGTCTGCATACCAAGGTATTTAGATTTGGGCCCTTGAGTTGGGCTTGCCATTTAGATTTGAGAGTTGGGCCTCGGGAGAGCCCATTTATTATTGGGCCTTGGTGGGCCCAATGGGTTTTAAGTTATTGATGGTCTGGTTAGTGGACTACCTTTAGACCTAATGAGTGAGAGTTTGGACTTAGTTGCTAATTGGGTTAATTGTGGGTTTTGGCTCAGAGTTGGAGGCCGGTGCGTAGCAACAACGTTCATAGGGGTTGTTCATCATCCGAGGTGAGTCTTCTCATTATACTTTACAATGAGTGGTATATATGTGTGACTGGAGGGTTTTATGTGTTTATATTTTGTACTGTGATATCCTGCATTATTTCTATGTGATTTATGTTGTGTATTATTCTAAGCTTACTGAGTTAGGACCGGAGGGTCCATCTGAGTTAGGACCGGAGGGTCCACCCGAGTTGTGGGACCGGAGGGTCCCATTGAGACACATTGACCGGAGGGTCTTATTGAGTTATAGCCTCGAGTGGCTAATGAGATGTGTGTGGTATTTTGGGAAACTCACTAAGCTTTGTGCTTACCGTGTTATGTGATATGTGTTTCAGGTTTTTCTTAGGATCGCGGGAAGGCGCCGACTTGATTGTAAACACCAGAGAAAGAGTTATGTTTTGAGGATCTTGGAGTCTTAATTAAACAATTATGGAGTTGCAATTTGTAAATTAAATAAATGAGATTTTTTGTGAAATGTGTTATGAGAATTATGTGATTTAAATGAAAATTTTGTTTGAAAATTTACGGTGTTACAGCCTCCATATGCGATGAACAACTCCCCCACAACATAGGAAAATGTCAACCATGTCGTGGCAACCGGGATAATACTTCTTTATCGTGTTAAAATAAATTCTATGGTGTGGGAATAACTCATCCATACCATAAGAATGAATATAAAAGTAGCAACGCCACTATTTAACACCTAGACTTCTGAAAGTACGGGATCAGACTCGAAAACGGACTCGAAAAGCACCACCTCGTGGCGGAGTTCACTACCTCGTGGTGAATTAAACATAATGCAATTTTGGTATTTTAACTGCGACACCATGACATGGTGGATATTACCACGACATGGTGGTCTTGAAATTGCAATAAACTGTGCTAGAATCAACTGATTTCTGAAATCTTTGTGGCACCAACTAATGTATGAAGCTGTTAGGTGTGACTCCTCACTTATTGACGCAAACAAACACTCTAAAAATAGCTCAAAGATCGCTTATCTCGTCGTTTCTAATCTTTCTCTATAAAGCATCTTCTTTTTCCAATAATACCCTCTCTTGGACTCTACACATTACACCTGGAAATTCAAAGCAAAGATGAGTAATGAAAGTAGGAAACATTGTCAAACAACCAAAGCAAAAAGAAATAAGTATCCAAACAAACAAAACACACAAAAATAAAAGACATAAAAGAAACAAAGTCTTCAATCCATGAAAATAAAAGGATAGAACTCTCATTCTCCGTTATCTCCATCATCACCTCCTCCTCCACTACCGTCTGCTCCACCGCGTTGCTCTCTCCATAATTCCTCCCAACTCGGTGCGTATGTATAAGCAGGAGGAAAATGACCGGGTCGGGTTACATGCATTTTCTCCATAAGGTGGTCTAGGCTCATGTTGGTGTAGTTGGCACTCCTTGCCAAGTTATCATCAAATTATAGGGATCCATGGGTAGCTCGTCATCGGTTGGTACAACTGGTGGATCTTCTTCTTCAGGATCCCTTGTTTATCTTACCCGCCTCGGGACTCGGCCACATGGAGTATCGTCAGGAATAGCAAAACCAATCATCCCAGGATCAACAATGATATTTGCCCTCTTATAAATTAGTGTAGAGAAAGGCTTCTAGGACTCCACGGTCAAAAAGACGGCCTCACGCTTATCAAGGATGCCAAAAGAATGTGCACATAGTGTGATAAATATACCCCCGTAAAGAGAAGAACCTCGCCTATCCTTTCCTGCTCGGGCCATAAGAAAATCCGCCAACAAGAATGGTAAGTCCACATAAACATCAGGGGTGATAAGAGCCCATAAGAAAAACACGTCTATCGTCGGACACTTGTCCCCCTCCTATCTCTGATTAATGGTGTTTGTGATAAGCCAGTGCAAAAGACGATTAAGAGGAGAGCGAATGTCACTTTCTTGTGCAGTCCCCTTATAATAAGCACCATTTGCTATTTCATTCCAATGTGTTTCACCTTTGAACCCCTCGGTGATCCGGATACCTCCAGCAATGTATTATTGATAAGCTTCGGAATGGACCTCAAATGGAAGATAAATCTGTGTCCTTAGCGCAAAATCAGCATGGCTTAAGGTACGCCTTTCTCCACCAAGGCAAAAAGAAAGGTTGTCTTCAACAAATATTCCGTCCTTCTGTGCAAAGAAACCGTGGCCAGAAACTCAACGACTAACTCCTTATACATGACTTCCTGAATTTCAAATAACCGTCTCCACCCCATACAAACAAACGGCCCATGAATGCTATTGAATGCTTTGTCCAAGTATGGCTCAATTCCCTCCATTAACCCGGTTTTTCCAATCCAGTGCCAATCTACAACTTCAGGAACATGGACTTTTCGCTGCTTCATCCAGTCAAGTTTTGCATTGCATCTTGCGTAAATCTCGGGCCCAACAGTCCTAGGAAAAGAATACGATGGAAACTCGGGGCGACTCCCGGGTTGTTGGCGTCGTGTACGGCTAGCCATTTAGGCAAAATAACCAAAAAGAACACAAGGGGAAACCATGTGTATGCAAGGAATCAGAACAAAACAGGATTAGGCTTACAAAAGTTCACCACGACAAGGACCACGACGAGTCGTCGTGGTCGATGTATTGTCGAGTGCTGTGGTTTCATTGGACCAAATTCAACACCATTCCAACTCAATACAACTTTATGGTTTGTTCTAGGCATGAATTCAAGTAGGAAGTTAACAAAATTAAATGAAAAACATCATTAATCAGGTCCGATTTTTGCAAAAATTGAAACCCTAGGTTCCTAATTTTTGGCCTAAAAGTGTTGTAATAGCAAATTGAAACCCAAGGTATTTCTCCTGCTATAACCATAAGATACTCTTTGGGAAAATCATCTCCAATCTTGTTTTCTTCTAATTCTTCCAAGTGCGGGTTCTCTAGTCGCGATAAGTGATCAGCTGCTACGTTTTCCATTCCCTTTTTGTCTTTAATCTCAATGTCAAATTCTTGTAAAAGTAATACCCAACATATTAGTCTTCATTTATCATCCTGTTTAGCAAAGAGATACTTAAGGGCAGAATGGTCGGTAAACACAATTGTCTTTGACAAAACGAGATATTGGCGGAATTTATCAGAAACATAAACCACCGCGAGCAGCTCCTTCTCGGTAGTAGTGTAGTTTCCTTGAGTTGGGTTGGAGGTTTTTCTTGATAGTAGATAGGTTGAAAATATTTGTCAATTCTTTGTCCCAAAACAGCTCCCACCGCATAGTCACTAGCATCACACATAAGCTCAAAAGGAAGGCTCCAATTTGGGGCTATCATAATGGGGGTAGCAGTCAACTTTTCCTTTAAAAATTGAAATGCTTCATGACAATCCTTGGAAAGGTCTAATGGGGCATCCTTTAAAAGAAGTATAGTTAATGGCCTCGTGATCTTCGAAATGTCTTTAATGAAACGGCGATAAAAGCCCTCATGGCCTAGAAATCTCTTTACCCCTTTTACATTCATTGGGAGTGGTAAATTAGCTATCGTGTCAACTTTAGCTCTATCCACCTCTATCCGCGACCTTGAGACTTTGTGTCCTAACACAATCGCTTCCGTTACCATGAAGTGGCACTTCTCCCAATTTAGAACTAGGTTGGTCTTCACACATCTTTCTAGCATTAGGTCTAAGTTAGATAAACAATCTTCAAAAGAGGACCCAAATACCGAGAAGTCATCCATGAAAACCTCCATAAATTTCACGATCATGTCATGGAAGATAGCCGTCATGCACCTTTGGAATGTAGTTGGTACATTGCATAACCCAAAAGGCATGCGCCTATATGCAAATGTCCCACTTGGGCAAATAAAAGTGGTCTTTTCTTGGTCTTGAGGGTCAATTGGGATTTGGAAGTACCCCGAGAAACCATCAAGGAAACAATAAAAAAGATGTCCGGATAGTCTTTCGAGCATTTGATCGATAAATGGTAGCGGAAAGTGATCCTTGCATGTAGCATCATTAAACTTCCGATAGTCGATGCAAACGCGCTACCCGATCACTGTTCTTGTTGGGATTAACTCGTTATCTTCATTGGTAACCACGGTCATTCCTCCCTTCTTTGGTACTACGTGTACCAGACTTACCCATGGACTATCGGAGATTGAGTAAATGATACCATCATCTAAAAGTTTAACCACCTCCTTTTTAAGCACTTCTTGCATATTGGGGTTAAGTCTTCTTTGGCGTTGAACTATGGGTTTAGCTCCTTCTTCTAGGTTGATCTTATGAGAACAATAAGCTGGACTAGTCCCCTTGATGTCGGTTATCTTCCATGCTATGGTACCTTGTCATTTCTTTAGGACTTCCATGAGGATTTCTTTTTCATGTTTAGCTAGATCGGATGCTATAATTACTGGTTTTTGTTGCCCTTCTTCCAAGAATGCGTACTCCAGGTGCTCGGGTAAGGCTTTAAGCTCAACTTTTGGCTTTTCATCAGAAACCACGATGTGGGCTTCCTGCCACGTCGTGGTGTCACAACTTTTATTGTCAGATCGCGAAATTTTTTTTGACCACGGCGTGTTGATATCAGCACGTCGTGTTTCCTGTTCTGCCTCTTTTATCACTTCATTGTAATCACTTTCTTCCAATAACTTCTCCAATTCTGGTAGATCGAGTTCGACATCAAAATTTACTTCTTCAAACACCATAAACCCCTCGGTTTCTTTTTCTTTCCACCCTCCTAGATCCTTTTCAAATAGTTCATCGATGATATCGACAGAAAAAGTCGTATCATCACTTGCTCTTGAATGTTGAATTGCTCGATTAACCCCAAAAGTGACAGTTTCTTCTCCTAATCGGAGAGTGAGTTTGGACTCTCTAATTTCAACCAAGGCTCGGGCGATGCTCAAAAAGGGCCTTCCAAGGATGATTGGGACTTGTTCGTCCACTTTTATGAGCAAGTCTTCACATATACCCCTTGGGAAAGTCATGGTCTTGTTAGCTAAATGTATGACCATGCGGACCGGTCTTGGTTCGGGGAGATCAAGCTTCTTAAAAAACGAATAGGGCATCACATTAACACTAGCTCCCGAATCGGCTAGAGCATGACTAGTTTCTAGATTCCCGAATTGGCATGGTAAGGTTATGCTTCCCGGATCACCCATCTTTTTGGTAACATGTTTAGCATTGCAGCGGAACAAGTTTCATTTAATACCACCTTCGATAGTCCCTCCATTTTTTTCGGTTTGTTAAAAGGTCCTTGAGGAACTTGGCATATTTTGGAATTTCGACTAAGGCCTCAAGGAATGGAATATTTATTTCAAGAGACTTTATGTGGTCTAAGAACTTCCGATAATCATCAACATGCTTTTCTTGAATTGCTCTACTTGTGAATGGCAATCGTGGGAGGTAAGGCTTTACGGGTTCATCAGTTTTCTTTTCAACTTTTTGCCACGCTGTGGCATTTGTACCACATCGTGGTGATTGTTCAGATCTTTGTCCTTGACTTTCTTCTTGAACTTACTTCTCCCCGTCCGAGTTGTTTCTGTCTATGGGCGTTAAATGAGTGATAATTTTCCCGCTTCTGGTAGTAATGGCTTGGATGTGAGCCCCTCTTGGGTTTTGTTCAGTGTTTCCTGGAAGTCCTCCCATAGGCCTTTCATTGAATTGCTTAGCTAGTTGCCCGAGATTTTGTTTTATGGTGAGGATTGAATCTTGTTGATTTTTAAACAGTGCTTGCTGGTTTTTCATCATGTCTTGCTGTTACTTCATCATTACTTGTTTCTTTTTCATCATTATTTGTTGTTCTTTAATTGCTGCTTCAGTTCCCTCGTGCCTTTTTTCAGATGCTGCTGCAAATCGGGTAAGCATTGCCTCAAAATCAGATTTCTTTTCAACCGGTGGTTCCTCTCTTTGATAAAAGCCTCTCCCTTTTTGTTCAAACTTTTCTTCCTTGGTCTTTTTGTACTCATCATAAGGTAACCACTTTTTCTTAGGCTTTCTCCAGTCTTCATCAAAACGATCATCGCTCGAGTAGAAAGCTTGAACCTTTTGGTTTCCATTTTCATCAAGGTCACAATCTCCAGTCAAATGTGGCCCGTTACAGTTTTCACACCCAACCCGAATAGCATGAATTGTTTGATTTATTTTAGTCATTCTTTTATCCATGTTTTGCAACATTGCCAATACTGCCGACATATCTTCCGAAGCAGCATTAGCAGATCCCCTTGTGACATCATTCCTCGGATTATGGTATTCTCTAGAGTGTTTAGAGAATTCTTCAATGAGCTCCTTAATTTCTGCCGGATTTTTCTTAGTTAAGGGGCCTTGAGAGTCAAGGAGTTGTCTAGTGGTGACGTTTACCCCATCATAAAAGATCGACACTTCTTGTAGCACATTGAGTTCGTTTTGAGGGCAATTCCTCAGTAGTCCCTTATAGCGCTCCCATGCTTCATACAACGACTCCCGCATCTGTTTTTCAAAATTAGCAATGGCCTTTTTGAGCTTAGCCACCTTGGATGGTGGGAAAAATTGTTCCAAAAACGATTCACGCATCCTTGCCCACTTCGTTATCGCGCCTGGTGGAAGTGCCTTCAGCCAATCCTTCGCGTCTCCCTTGAAAGTGACAGGGAGCATCCTTAACAACACCGTTTCTCTTGGAACATTTGGATTGTTGAAGTAGTCGGCGATGTCGTTCACTTCATCAAGATGCTTATAAGAATCTTCGTGATCCTTTCCGGTGAAAGGAATATTCTTTAGTGCAGTAAGCATGTGCCCCTTAAGTTCAAATGTGGTAGTGGCGGGTATGGTGGGTTGCACAAGCCCCGGTCCGGTGTCGTCTCGAACTCTCTTTTTGTACCCCTCCATCAAGAGGTCGGCAATCTTCGCCATAGTGTTGTCGGGTTCTTTGTTTAACATGCTTTCTGTTTTAGATTTGGTTTTGCTTCCTTCCTTTTCTGTTTCGTACTCGGTGTCTTCCTTTGTTGGATCGCTCTTTGTATCTTCGTCCTTCAGTGTTTTGTTGGATTCTCCCACTTTTCCCTTCTTCTTGCTAAAAACCGACTAGAGATTCTTAAAAGGGGACTTCTTTGGTGTCTCAGATTTTCTTACGGTTTTGTCTTTTTTTTGTGAAAAGCGGATTCTGGGTCTTCAAGTGGCGGAATCAAAGATGACTTTGATCCACGAGTCATAAACGAACTACAAATAAACAAAAGAAACACGTAAAAGAACAAAAACGAAAAATAAAGATTTACTGTTACGATGCCACGGCGTGGTAAAAATTACCACGTCGTGGTGAGTCAAAAAGAAGTAAAAACTAAATAAAGCGAAAGTAACTAAACAGTAAATAATACTAATAAAATGGCAGATTATAAAGTAACTAAAACTGCACCGTTCCCCAGCAACGGCGCCATAAACTTGATGTGTATTTAATGTGTATATATATTTGTTCAAATTTCAATTTAATAAAACTAATTTTTCTTTCACTAGACTATTAAACACACTAGGCAGTGTACCTAATCGTGTAATAGTA